TTTTTTTTTTTTTTTTTTTTTTTTTTTTCCCTTTTTTGGGTTGAACGGTGATGTATTTATTTGGGGTAATTTATGGTTTTCGTGTCAACAGAAAAGGACGAGAGCTCAGACTGTAGCCGTCGAAGCTCAACCTACCACTGGAGATCGTGGTGGTGCCGACAACGACAGGACCAGCGATGCTAGCGACCAGGCTAACCGAGAGAGCTCACCTGATTACTTTGAAGAGGCTCAACCTCCTAAAACTAAGCGGAGCCGTTTGGAAAGCACTTCGAGTGCGGCGGATGAAGTCTCCGATCAGAGTCTGATTGGTAACTAATTTTATATTCACTGACCAGCATGATGAATGTTCATTTTCTGAATTGGGTTCAATAGCGTTTCTTTTAATTTTGATAATTGAAAGATCAAACTGGGGTCGTGGTTGAATGTTTCTAGGTTTTAGTCATTATGATGATATTTCTCGATGAATTACTGTCATTTTCATCCTTTTGCAACTGCGCTCACATTTTCAATAAAACTCTTCCTGTTGAATGCCTGAAATATATGGACATCAATATTCGAAATGCGACTATTCCCCGGTGCTCACTCATTGAGTGCGATACTTGCTATACTATTCTCAGACAATGAGATGTAAATCTTGTTAAGCTCTATCATATCCTATCATTTTCTGCAGAAGTTATAAAAGGAAATGGTAAACTTATTCCTCAAGTTGTTAAGCTTTGGGTGGAGAGGTATGAAAAAGATCCAAAGGCTTCAATGGTTGAGCTCCTGGCAATGCTATTTGAGGTAATTGAAAGGTTTTTCTTCCTCAGGTCTGATTTGAGAGTGCATTTAGAATGTAACCTTTTCTTTCTAAGTTTTCTTTTTAAACCTCGAACAATTTAAGTAGCTGGGAAGCTGGTCTAGATTGCCTGTACTCTAGATCGTTATTTTAGTGGTTCATTTACAATGAGACAATTCTTTTAGAAGCTGTATGTAACGAGAGGAAAATTATTGATTATCGAAATCTACAAACTTACAGGCATGTGGAACTAAATACCATATCAAGGGTGACTTCCTAGAAGAGACAGATGTTGATGACGTTGTTGTTGCTCTTGTCAATCTCGCCAAAAGAGTATCCTAAATCTGCCTTTTAATCTTTTCACATATTTTATATTAAACCCTCTCTTACGTTCTCCATTTTGTTGTCAACCTTTTAATCTTCTACTTTCAATTCTTATTTGAGTTCTCTGAATTTTTTCTCAAATTTGCCTTTGGTATCATAGGGTGAAGTTGAAGATTATCAAAGCTCTAAAAGGAAGGAGTTCAAAAACTTCAAAGACAATCTTGAGTCATTTTGGGACCATTTGGTCCATGAGTGTCAACATGGCCCTTTATTTGATCAGGTGTTATTTGATAAATGCGTGGACTACATAATTGCATTATCATGGTTAGTAAACAATTGCAAAGTCTGAATATATAATTTATTATTTTTGTAAAAATAAATCTATATTTCCCTTGAATATATATTTTTAATTGTTTTTAATATGGAGCAGCACTCCTCCAAGGGTTTATCGTCAAGTAGCTTCGTTGATGGGTCTCCAACTTGTTACTTCTTTCATAAGTGTTGCTAAAATGCTTGGTGCTCAACGTGAAACTACTCGTAGACAATTAGATGCTGAAAAGAAGAAACGGGCTGAGGGACCTCGTGTGGAGTCTTTAAATAAAAGGTTTTCTATGACTCAT